TTCATAAGTCTCCTTGAGCAAACCCTCACTGTCAGCCCGAGGTGAGAGCGGAAGGCCTTCTTGGGTCCTGGCTTAGCATGTTCACAGCCCTGTGCATGATGGGCGGGTCCTTCTGTTGTGGAGGCGGTGGTAGTTGGAAGTCCCATGGAGCCAGTTCCGACCCACAGCGACCGTCCACACAACAGAAGGCGATGCTGCAACGGTCCGTCTTCACTACTGTGCCGTGCCGGAGCCCATTGTTGCTGCCACGGGGTCCACACATCTCCTGGAGGGCCTTCCTCCCCTCCTCTGTGCGCCCCTCTGCTCTCCCAACCCTGGGTGTCCTTCTCCAGGGACTGGTCTCGCCAGACAGATGTGTCCAAACTATGTAGACAAAGTCTTGCCATCCTTGCCTCTAAGGCAGCAAGCACCCTTTTGCACGTCTTCCGAGACCGATTGGTTTGTCCTTTTAACAATCCGTATTCCTCTCCAGCACCACAATTCCAAGACATTGATCATTCTTCAGTCTTGAAGAAACATCCAACTTTCACATGCATAGGAAGCAATCGATGAGGCCATGGCTTGGATCAGGAGCACTGAGTTCTCACAGTAACGTCTTTGCTTTTCAATACTCTAAAGAGGTCTGGTGCAGCAGGTGGACCGAGTGCAACGCATCTTTGGGTCTCTGCTCCTTCCGTGAGCATTGACTGTGGATCCAAACGAGACAAAATCCTGGACAACAGTAACCTGTTCTCCACGGAGCATTAGGGTACCTAGTGGTCCAGGGGTGAGGATTTGGGTTTTCTCTACATTGAGTCATCGTCCACACTGAAGGCTGCCATCCTGGATCTTCGTCAGTAAGTGCTTCGTGTCCCCCTCACTTTCAGCCAGCAAGGTGCTGTGGCTGGCCTGCCCCCAGTCCTGATGTCAGATTCTTTTCCATAGAAGCCAGCATACAGATTGAACGAGGATGGCGAGAGGATTCAACCCTGTTGCACACCTTCCCTGATTGTCAGCCACGCGGTAATCCCTTGTTCTGTTCACACAACTGCCTCTCGATCCAGGTCCAAGTTCCTCGTGAGCACAAGGAAGTGTCCTGGAATTCTCGTTCTGCTCAAAGTTCTCCACAGTTTGTAATGATCCACACAGTCAAATGCCTTGGAATAGTCGATGAAATACAAGCAAACATCTTTCTGGTATCCTCTGCTTTCAGCCAGGGATCATCTGACATCAGCAATGAGATCCCTTGTTCCACGTCCTTTTCTGAATCATCTGGTAGCTCCCTGTCAATGGACTGCTGAACCATTGTTGGATGATCTTGGGCAAAATCTTGATGGCATGTGGAATCAGCAGTACGAGTCCATAGTTTTGAGGATCCTGTGGGGTCCCCTTACTTTGGAATGGACACAAATACGGGTCTCTTCCAGTCAATTGGCCGGGTAGCTGTCTTCCAGATTTCCTGGCCTAGATGAGTGAGTGCTCCCAGTATGTCCTCAGCTTGTTGAAACATTTCCATTTGGATTCCATCAATTCCTGGAACCTTGTTTTTGGCCAATGCTTTCAGCGCACCTTGAACTTCTTCCTTCAGCACCATTGGGTCTTACTCACATGCTACCTCCTAAAATGGTGGGATAGTTCTTTTTGGGACAGTGATTCTGTATGTTCTTTTCATCTTTTCTGGATGCTTCCTGCATCATTCAACATTTTGTCCACAGACTCTTTCAAGATTGCAGTGCGAGGCTTCCACTTTGTCTTGAGTTCTGGATTCAGATATGTCGAGCATGTTCTTCCCTTTTGCTTTCTAACGCTAGATCTTTGCGCGTTTCATTATACTATTTGGCTTTGTCTTCCCGAGCTGCCCTTTGAAGTTTTATATTCAGTTCTTTGACTTCATCCTTTCTTCCATTTGCTTTAGCTACTCTACGATCTTAGTCCCTTCTGACCTCCACTTTGCTTTTTTTTCTTTCTTTCTTGTCTTTTCAATGACCTTTCGCTTTCTTCATGAATGATGCGCTTGATGTCCTCCCACAGCTCGTCAGGCCTTCTGTCATTAGTGTTCAGTGCGTGAACTCTGTTCTTGAGATGCTCTTGGACTTCAGGTGGGGCAGACTCAAGGAGGTATTCTGGCTCTCATGGATGAGTTTTCATTTTCTTCAGCTGTATCCTGCATTTCTGTATGAGCAATTGATGGTCTGTTCCACAGTCAGTCCCTGGCCTCGTTTTGCCTGCTGAAATTGAGCTTTCCCATCTTCTCTTTCCACAGATGTAGTCAACTTGATTGTTGTGCCTTCCATCTGAAGAAGGCCATGTGTACTGTCGCCTTTTGTGTTGTTGAAAAAAGGTATTTGCTATAAATAGGTCGTTGGGTTTGCAAACTTCTATCATGCGGCCTCCAGGTTCATTTCTATCAAGTCCATGGTTTCCAACGACTGTTTCCTCTTTGTTTCCAACTTTTGCATTCCAACGCAAGATGCATGCGTTATCAATGCATCTTGATTGCATGTATGATCAATTTCCAACTGAAACGTTACTGGTAGCATTCTTCAGTTTCTTCACTAGCTCTTGTGGTTGGTGCATACATTTCAGTAATCATAGGATTGGTTGGCTTTCCTTGAAAGTAGATAGGTATAATCCGATCACAGACAGCATTGTACTTCATGGTGGACCTTGCGATATCCTTGTTGGCAATGAACGCCACGCCGTTCCTCTTGATTGTGTCACTCCCGGCACGGTAAATCATATGACCTTCTGATGCAAAATGGCCAATGCCAGTCCACTCCAGCTCACTAATGCCTAGGACAGCAGTTCTCAACCTGTGGGTTGCGACCCCTTTGGGGGCCGAAGGACCCTTTCACAAGGGTTTCCCGATTCATAGCAGTAGCAAAATGACAGTGATGAAGTAGCAACGAAAATAATGTTATGGTTGGGGGGTCACCACCACAGGAAGAACTAGATGAAAGGGTCGCGGCCTGAGGAAGGTTGAGAACCACTGGCCTAGGATATCAATCTTGATTCATTCCATTTCATTTTTGACCACTTCCGATTTTCCTAGTTTCATATTTCGAACATTCCAAGTTCCGATCATTAGCAGCGGTTTGTTGGGCAGCGGTTTCTCCTTTCCTTGAGTTGCTCCCCCCAGCGAATGAGGATCCCGAAGGCTCCAATCCTCCGGGCTACACCCGACTCAGGTCACCGTGAAGGACTCCACTCTGAAAACTCCGCAGTCACATTTTGAGTGCCCTCCGGCCTTAGGGGCCCAGCCTCCGGCCTGTCTCCCACGATGCTCTGCTTCCAGTCCATCCATTAGGCCTGCAGTCTCTGACCATGCACAACCAAGGTTGTCAACAGCTTCTTCCTCTGAAGTGGGGGGCCGAGCCCTTCGTTGTCTGTTCTTGGTCTGGAAGCTCCCCTGAAACCTGCTCACTTGGGGTGACCCTGCTGGCATGTGAATAGGTGTTCCCTGGGTTAACTTTCAGAGTGATCACATTTCTGGTTGTTTTTAAGGAGAGGTGAATTTCGGGGGGGTCCTTACTCCATGTTTGTTGATGACCTTGTCTCTCTTTAACCTATTCCATCGAAGCTCCCAGTTTCCTAGTTCATTTCTCTGCTTAAGACTCCACATATAACCAGCTGACCTTGACCTCTCTCCCTGACACTTCTATCCCACAGCCTGTCAACACCCCAACTTCAACCTCCCAGACATGTCACGCTCCAACACCCTTCTTTCTCCCCTTCTGCATTGGTAGGGACTCCCTCCTCCCAGTTTTGGGGACTCCCTCCTCCCAGTCTTGGGGACTCCAACACCTAGGGGCCATCACAGTCCATTCACCAGCCCATCTGGTCGGCTCGTAGATCCAGGATCTGCTGAATGGCAACACTGGTTTCCATCCAGCCTCTCTGTCTCTTCCCAGCACAGCAGGCAGAGGGCTCTAGGGACACACGGGAAGCTAAGTCTCACCTGTGCTCAACCCACAAGATCTGAGTCCCCCTTCCCATGTTCCCCTGCACCATCTCTCTGGCTCCTCCGCCTCCTCGCCATCCCAGCCACAGTGGTCTTGTGTGTTCCTCAAACACAAGCTTGCCCCCACCTGCCGCTCACCCCCACAGCTCCCCCTCCTGGACCCTCCCTGCTCACTAGCCCCTCCACACCCATGGGACTGGACACCGCCTCCGCACCCCAAGCCCCTTACTTGGCTTCCTGTTGCTCTGAGCCTGATGCTGCTCTGTGTATACGTGTCCTTATTCATGGACCTGGACTCCTTGTCCTGCCTTCACTCATGTCCTCGTGCCTGGCATATCGTCCCGGGAACGTGTTGAATGAAGTCAACATGTTTGGGGACGTGAGTGTGTGACTCTGAGAGTCTGGGTGTGAACGGGTGACATGTAGCCGGGGAGAGGAGGGCTGCATACGTGGCTGTGGGGGCGAGGGGACGGGTAGGTGTGTGGGCGAGGCCTGCAGACAAGTCATGTGGCTAGGCAGCTGAGGTGAGGAGGGGCAGACCCTGACCCAGAGTGCCCCACCCCCCCAGAAGCGGATGCAGCAGATCATGTCCCACTGCTTCCTGTCTGTCAAGTCCAAGCTGGAATGTAAGCTGGGCTACTTTGACCTCATCGGCTGCGATTTCCTGATCGATTCGGACTTCAAGGTGTGGCGGTGCTGGGGGCAGGGGTGAGGGGGGGTGACAGGACCCCAGGATAGGCCCAAGCAGGTAGGCACGCCATTTGTGCACACCCTGCCCTGACAGCCCAGCCAGATCCCACCCTGCCCCGCTCAGTCAGCCCTGTGGTGGGCGAGCCCAAGAGGCTGAGTTCTCTGTATTCTGGTGGAACAGAGTTCTACCCCTTCCTTGGGGCAGCCCCAGACCCTGGCGTCCCTCAGAGCCTCAGCTCCCAGGCAAAGGAGGAGTGGGGTCACCCACACAAAGGCAGCTGGGGCTGGGAGGGCCCGGGCTGCTGACCAGTGTCCGCCGCAGGTCTGGCTGCTGGAGATGAATTCCAACCCGGCCCTGCACACCAACTGCGAGGTCCTGAAGGAAGTGATCCCAGGAGTGGTGATGGAGACCCTCGGTAAGCCCCTGAGGAACGGACACACACCCTCGGTGCCCTCTGCCCCTGGCCACTATTCCCC